AAGGGTAGAAAATGGATGGATGGATGGACATAGCAATGGTTGCCATGATGACTATTGCTACATCAACGGTTGCCATTGTGACCATTTCCATAGCAAAGGTTGCCATGGAGACTATTGCCCTAGCAACAATTGCCATGGTGACCACAGCCTTAGCAACAGTGCCATTGTCATGGTAACCATGACATTGGCAACCATTGCTATGGAAACCATGACAATGGCAACCATTGCTACGGCAATCACTATGGAAAATACCCCGGCAACCAACACTATAATAACTGGAAACAAACTCCCAAAAAATTAAACAAGAGTCACTAGATTATCTGTTAGTTGTCATGGTAAGAGTGGGTTGATGGTGATAGTTCCTACAGTGATGGTTGCCAGGGTATCTGTAACTATAGCAACGGTTGCCATGATGACTATTGCCACATCAACTGTTGCCATTATGACAATTGACATAGCAATGGTTGCCATGATGACTATTGCCACATCAACGGTTGCCATTGTGACCATTGCCATACCAACGGTTGCCATGGGAACTATTGCCATAGCAACGGTTGCCATGGTGCCATATCAAAGGTTGCCATGGAGACTATTGTCCTAGCAACGATTGCCATGGTGACCTCAGCCATAGCAACGATTGCCATGGTGACCACAGCCTTAGCAACAGTGACCATTGTCATGGTAACCATGACATTGGCAACCATTGCTATGGAAACCATGACAATGGCAACCATTGCTACGGCAATCACTATAGGAAATACCCCGGCAACCAACACTATAATAACTGGAAACAAACTCCCAAAAAATTAAACAAGAGTCACTATATTATCTGTTAGTTGTCATGGTAAGAGTGGGTTGATAGTTTCTACAGGGATGTTTGCCAGGGTGACTGTTGCTATTGACCCCTTGCATGTGACGTACCAGCCTCGTCCACTCTCCATGAAAGACGGCGGAAGTCTAACTGCGAGCCTTCGGAAACTTGACCTAAACAACCTGTTTCACCGAATAACAGCCAAAACTGTTATATTTTGCAGTGCGGTTGGTTGTACTAACAGGCAAGGACATAAGCCCTATGCATGTGTCCCTGATACCTGCTCCTGATGAAGACAGAAGATGACGATGGCCAGCGGCAATCAACCAAAAGGACTGGGAGCCAAGATAAATCAATAACAACTTTGTAATGAATTTCTTTCCATTGGAAAATGACACAACAAGCGCTTGTCCTTACTACTGTGCTGTATCACGTCAGTTGCGTTTTTCACTATTTTCCTCTCCGTCATTATGTATTATGTTTGGCTGTAGACAGGAAAGTGGACTATTGCTAATGGGCTATTGCTACCAGCACAATGTACATTTAAATCTGCTCAAGTGTGAGGGGATGCATTGTTAACGACATTATGATAAAGATCATGTGGGGTGAACTCGGGCAAAATTGGATATTTCATTTAACAGATACAATTGACTGAGGGGAGAAGGTCAGTATTTTCAGGTCAACATCCAGTTCGGCAATCCTTAACTTCTCCAAATACCACTCTTTGAGAGCCCTGACAAGATGTCCTACTTCCACCGATAACGTTATCGAACATGTGCTTGAAGCAGCCACTACTCGCTTTAGGAGAGGAGAGTTTTTAAGAGGTGCAGTTGAATGAATGATTTTGCATTTTGCTCTAGCCGCATTGCTAGTTTCTACTACTTCCGCCGTAAGTGCATGCACAATCACGTGACCGGATGACGTTGCTGCACCATAGTAACCATAGGGATGGTTACTATGGATGGTTACTATGGTATCTGTTGTCATAGTGATGGTTACTATGGTAACTGTTGCTGTAGTCATAGCAACGGTTGTCATGGTGACTTTTGTCATATCAATGATTGCTATGGTAACTATTGACATAGCAATGGTTGCCATGGTGACAATAGCCATAGCAACAGTGACCATTGGCAGAATGGCAAATACCCCAGTAGTTGCCATAGCAACACAATAGTGATGGTTGGCATGGTGATTGCCATAGCAACAGTTGCCATAGTGAGGGTTTCTAAGGTAACAGTTGCCATACCCATGAGTCGCCATGACAATCACTATGGCAACTACCCTATGACATCCGTAAACAACCTCCCAAATGAGAAGTTGCAAGAAATATGCATTAAAACAAGAATCACTAGATTATCACTAGATTATCCACCCAGAGACTACTCCATCTCTGCTGCTGTGACCTAAAGGGCAGTAATTGATTATTACTATTGCTAGCTTTTTAGAATGATCAATTTCAATGTTTTTATTTCTGCTCAATAAAGTATCTATCTATCCGTCTGTTGTCATGGTAAGAGTTGGTTGATGGTGGATGCTATGGTAACTATTGCCATAGCAACGATTGCCATGGTGAATATGCCATAGCAACGGTTGCCATGGTGATTATAGTCAAAGTAACAGTTGCCTTGGCAACCATCACTAGGGTAACCCTTACCATGGCAACTGTTGCTGAGGAAATCACTATGGTAACTACCCTAGCAACCATAGTAACTGAAAAAAAACTCCCAAGTGGTTGCCATAGTGACTATACCCATAGCAACGCTGACCATGGTCGCAGTTTACATTTACTTGTAATTATGTGCTTTTGAATAAAAAAATCACAGAGGTCAAGGCCTGGTGTGCCAGTTGGGGGATTTAATTCTTGTATAGAGTTGTTCTAGTGTTGAGTGCTCCTCATTCTTAATGTCCTGTAACTGGTGATGCAAGACTGACATTTCCCCACTGTGGGACAAATAAAGGATCTCTTCATCTTTATATTAAATGATTGGCTCAAAAAGGAGTTCTGACATGTTTACTTTCTCTGGTTCAAAGTTCTTGGGGAGAGCAGATGGTAAAAGCTGTCCACCGGAGCGCCCTCACTCCCCCAGTTCTTGATACGCTCAGTGCATTATGCAGGTATTTGACCTCTGCACATAAAACATTGATTACCCACATTCAGATGGACTCCCCAGAGCGTTAGTGGACTGTTTCTCATTTACAGCGCCACACACTTTATTGGTGATAGTAGAGTATGAATAAAGACGTTATTATAGTGTAGCCGGCATGTGAATCCTGTTAGATCTCAGAAGCCAAGCATGTCAGGGCCTGGTTAGTACTGTGATGGTAGACCTCTGAGAACACCAGGTGCCACAGTGGGGAGGCTGTAGATGTAAAGTAGTAAACTGTCACTGTGTCCTTAGGTGAGACACTTCACCCACATTGCAGATACTGGTTGCCTCGCTTCTGTCAGTGTCCCCCAGGGCAGATGTGGCTACAGTAGTAGTTTTTATTGAAAAATTCAATTTGTTGTCAGGGAGCACTTTAAAAACAGTGAATCAGACAGTTCTAATATAGGAAATCCAATAATAACAAACACACAGGTCCAAAGGGAGCGGGTTGACCAATGTCCAGAAGTGTAAATAGATAAATAAATAATGGCATGTAAAGCATCACTGGGTGTCATGAAAAGGGCCATTTACAATACAACTCAAACTTTTGCACAGTTTGTCATGTTTTTTTTTATTTTTTTTATAAAAGACCACAACAAAGTAACACACAACTGTGAAATAAACAAACTCAGAAGTCAGATCCAAAATGATGATCTTCATCCTTGTATGACTAATTAGCACATTTGCACTGTGTGTGTGTGTGTGTGTGTGTGTGTTACAAGCAAAAGAAAACACTATGTTCTGTTCATTGTGTAGTAATTGTTAAAAAAATATTCCAAACTGGTCTAATATTTTAAAGCGTGCACACACAGGATCTGATGACCGTGAACACATGGAAGTGCAGCTGAAACCCTGCCCCAGAGGATCATGGGTCGCCAGTGTGAGGAGCAGTTTATCAAAGAACAGCAGCGTGTGCTTTATTTACTCACTCCCATTTCTCCTTTTTGTATTTTCTGTTTTGATCTACACCCCGTCCGTCCGTGGGAGTGGATCCTTCTCTCACTGTGGTCCTCCCCGAGGTTTCTCTATTTCTCTCCCACTGGGTAGTGAGTCATTTGTTGCTGATGCAGAAGTGTCTAAGGACATTTATGATCTGGGACATTTATGCACATGTATTCACAAGTATGAATGTTGGTCCTCCTAATTTATTCATCCCACAGTGGGGAAACTTCGGTGTTGCATCACCAGTTGCAGAACAGTAAGGGCGGGTTTCCACCATGCATGCGTTCACAAAAAATCAGCCTCTTTTTAGTGAATCTGACGTACTGCTGCGATGCTGAAAAACGCAAGGCGTAAGTGGTGGGCACTATCACTTTAGCATAAAGTGATAGATGTTACTTTAAAGTGATAGCAAGCACAAAATACTGGGCAGTTGTATGTTTACATCTGTACATGTTAGCAGCATAAAGTGACAGTGGACACATCGACAGCAATCGACTCGAAGTGTCGGTTTACACTTAGAAAATCAAACAATTAAAAAGCAGCAAAAACACCTAAATGTCACTGGTCCATGGATAACAGTGTAGAAATGTCAATAAACGTACATAAATGCCCCAGATCAGCCCTGTCCTTCGCCCCTCCTGCATCGATGTGCGTTGCCAGTATCCTCCTGTGGCTACACAATGATATAACAACACAACACTACTACGCACACGCAGCCCAGAGTGTATATTCGAGCCCTCGCGCTTGTTCTTATATCGATTCCGCGAACTCATAACACGGCGGCACTGTGAAGAATGCATATCATTACACTCTATTTTTCTCTGAAGGTCAAAGGTACCCAGCCAACCATGAGTTTCCATTCGATTAGGCGCGGAAACAAGTGGTCCGGGGCATCTACCTGCTGAGCTGCGTGTGATTGCAAACCGTAGCTCAGCCTTGGCTCCCGCGCGGCCACAATACAGCAGACATTTGGCTCGACATAAGCACATTAGGGAGCCACAAACGCAACGAGAAGCAGCCAAAGAGCATAAAGCACACAGCCGGGGTGTAACGGGTCTCTGTGGGGGGCAGAAGGGAGGGAGGGGGGAGGCTTTACCTACCTTGAGAGAGAACTGGTACATGGGGTGGATTTTATTGAGGTCGTTCATTATGAAGTACAATAAGGAGGCGCGGGCTGCGGCTGGCCGGTAGTGCTCTCGGGCTTCATTGATTTTGGCCTCTGTCACCTTGGCTTCCTTTACCTGCAGTAAAGAAGCACCGGCAGATCACACACAGGGAACTGGCACAACCGTACTTTTGCCGGAAGATACTGATCCCTGGATTTGGAGAGAAAAATACATTGTTTTGAACATGAATACAGTCTTTTGTAAGCAAATACATGAATAATTGCAGTAAGCAAATACATTTAATATTTCAAATTGTTACAGTGGATACTGTAATCCACACATAGTAATTTGTTTTGTTTAAACGCATATACAAAAGAAAAAAAAAACAACAAAACTAAAAATAACAAACCACCATACACACTTTGAAAAGGGGTTGGACGAAAAGCATACGTACCTTAATTAGTTCCGACCCCTCACTCATACAACAGAAAGCGCACGCACACAAGACCCAGGCCCAAACACTAACTGACCCTACACCTCTCCCATCACCTGCGATGTGCTGAGGAAAAAAAACACTTTCCTTTTATCCTCATTGATTTAGAACTGAATTATATTGTCCAGTGAGTTGAGGTACTGTCGTGGATTGACCACACAGAGGCGGGATCGAGGCGCACCAGAGCTCCTGGACGTTTTTTCAGTTTCCATCAGGTTTCAGATGTTTCAGTTTTTTCAGACAGAACAAAGTCAGGACATGGTTTGTATAGTCATTGTTACATCACACACAGAAAGACTTAGACCCTAAGGCTTATTTTTTTTTTTTTTTTTTTTTTTACATACATTTTACGGGTTTACTTTGATTCCTACAATGTGATCAATATGGGATGGGAGGATGTGCTTGTGGACATTTGGGGCTATTGGTTTGAAAAGTGGAAGTTGGATTGAGTCTCCACTGGTTCCTTTCATTCATGTATGATTATATATTTGCTACACAAATGTAACAATCCATCCTTCTAATCTTTCTAATATAAAAAGTCCTAAACTTGTGTACACACATTGATGACAAAATAACATTGTAAAGTTTCCAGTGATTAATCAAACTACCTCCTTCAGCAGAGCGGGTCAGGTAAACAAATAATAGATGAAAAACATAAATGATGAACTTTTGAATGGACTGAGCTCGAAAGTTTGTCTTTGATAAAAGCTTGAGCCAGAATTCACACACATTGACTTCACAGGACTGCAGTGTTATTAATTGGAAGCATTTTGTCCTTTGAGGCTTGTCCCGTCGCACTGACAGACAGAGACTTTGTTTGAGAGTAAAACTAGAAGAGTAATTATGTTGGAGTGCCCATCTGCAGAGTGACAGCTTCTATCTGCAGTGGAGCAGCAGCTCTACCTCGCTACGTTCACTTCACACGCTCAGAGCTGTCCTCACCACCACCATCGCAGCGCCGAGCCGAGCCGAGCCGAAGCGAGATCCAGTCAGAGCGCAAAGCAATAGTCTCTCAAATGACTGAGTATTAAAGGCTCTCCACATGGTTTGGACTGTCTGACAGGGCAAACACATAATTGGTTTATTTTCAGCTGCTCAATCATATTCCTCACTTTCTCACACTATGTTTGCAAAGCTTAATTAGACGACAGCGAGTGAAGACTGCAAGGTAAGTAAGTAGTAATAATTTGTAATCTAATGAACAATGAAACAAACTTCATTTCAGTCCAAGACACTGGAGTGGCTGTCATTTAAAGTCATAACTGTTTGTTTTTTGAACTTGTGTCTTGTCTGTCTATGTTTTAAATTGGACCTAGAGTCTGTAATAAAGTTGAACTAAATGTAATCTGAAAACTGGTGTAAGGAGATGTATTATCTTTATTATTGTACCTGGTCGACCTCCAAGCCGACAATGGTGACCTCTGAAAACGTTTCCCCTCCATATTTCTCACCTCCAGTACAAGTCTCCGGTCTCAGATTTAAAAAAAATAGTTGGGATCTGGACTTTATGTCCATTAGTCAAACAATCAAAATGTAATTTTATTGCACAGTTCATACAAAATGCTACACAAATTGACTACATTTAAAAGCAAAAAAAAACTGTTTAACCGTCCTCATCTCCCTTTTGAGACTCTCTGGCTGGAAGATGACATCTGATGTAGGGACATCTAAAAAGCCGGGATAGCGCCCCGGATGATTGTTCCAGATTTTAGGTGCAAAGGTCTGGAATTCTGCTCCCCCATGTTTAGTCCTGACTCTGGGTACCAGCAGGAAGTCCCAGTTGGTTGATATGGTACTAACAAGTACTTTTGATGCAAAGACTTGTACACATGCAGATCTGCTTTAAAGTCTATTCTATTCTCTGAGCCACAGGAAGCGAGTGCAGAGACCTGAGCAGTACTACTGTGATCATACGTCCTGGTTCTAGACAGCACTCGAGCTGCAGTGTTTTTAATACACTGCAGCTGTGTGCGTCATCTACACAAGATGTGGCTGCTTCCTCTGGTTCAACTTCAGTACCTACTCGTTGTGCTAAGGGTAGACCATGGATCTATTAAAATATCTGAATAGGGTATTACTAGCTTATAGCTGTCTCACCCATGGGATACCCAGAAAGATGTCCCATAGAACTCAATGTAAACTACAACAGCTCGACCTCAGCTCTCATAAAGATCGGATTTTTTGGAGATTTTAGTGTCCCTTGTCATCCTGAACTTTATTTTTTCTTAAAACCTTTGTTTTTTTTTATAAATCCAGACTCAATGCGCGGCCAAGCCCCTCTGTGCACATGCATGAGAGCCACACACACGTATTTGGCGCAATGCATCATGGGAGCTCGTCCACTGCACAGAACTAGGAGAACCAGACAATGTCCAAATATGAGCGAGTTCCACTAATCTTTTGGTCCCGATGTATGTCCCACGCTCTACTGAGCACAAGACATTCATTTGAAAAGGACGCCATCTTGGATCACCGAGGGTTGGGGTAGACGGAGTACAGGGAGATCATATACTGTATATTTATGCATATGTTCTGGGGGTCTATGTGAAGATACATTGATTAGGCTGAAGGTGTAGTTCACATGGGGTGGCACAAAAGGAAGCTGTAGATGAATGGCAGAATCAGTGTGCGTTTAACCCTTTAAGGATCACCTAATTTCGCCTGCTCCTTCTCGAATTATGATACCCAAATGGAAATGCTTATTGTGTGGACATCTTGTGTCTGATTTTGTGTTATGAGGCCTCATTTGAAAGGTAAAACCTTATAGTTTCTGAAAATGTATGTTACAGTTTGTTAGGAAGGACACAGTCTGCATTACAGCTTCTCAAACATGAGTCAAAGTTAGTTTTTTTTGTCAAAAAAAAAAAAAGGCGATTTCAAAAGGTTCTCCTGAAGACATACTTTATGGTATGATGTTCAAACTCACCAGAGCAGATGTTTGTGGTGTTGGAAACACCTATATGAAATTTTAGACCTTTAGGTGGAACTATTTTGATGCTGGGGGCTTTTTTGTAACTAATGGGCACATTCGGCACAAGTGGTCCATTTTTGTGCCAACTGTGCCAAAGTGTTTTACATGCAAATTATCAATGTTTTTACATCAAAAATCCATTTATATAATTTTTTGGCTATTACTCTTGCTATAAATAGCGTTTTTCCAGATATTGAAATGTTTGCAGAAAAGCTATTATTTATATAGTTATAGCGCGTGTTCTCCGTGAAAGAGGCTCCGTCTTCCTCTTTACGCATTCAAATATGACGGGAACAGTGGGAGGAAGCTAGAAGTCCGACACATCGCCTGAAACCTGAGATTATTGGCTACAAGATGATTTGATTGACATCTAAATCGGCCAATGGTAGTCAAGACAATGCTGTCGTGACGCACAGATATCTATGTGAATGGAGCGCTAAAGCTAGGTGCGCTTGTTTTACTCAACTTGATCTACCTTCCAAACCATAGCACTGAAAAGTCCGGGAATGGGCTTGTTTTGAAGGGGAGGCTTAGGGGAAGACGAACATACCCAGTGACGCTAGGTAAACAGTAAAATGTCCTCTTCATACAGTGCGCAAAGAACAGGTTTTGTTTTTGTTTGTGCAACTTTCAATACTCAAATATGTTGTTACAAGTGGATATCTACTATAAGGATGACTTTGAAGAAAAAACAACTGGATATAATTATTCTCTAGACCCTAAAGAACAAAACGAATGCACACATGTGTGGATTAGACGTGATTTGCCCCAGAATATTAGCATGACAAGGTAAGAAAGGACAATATATATTTTAAATATATATACAGTTAGACTACTTATTCTTAATTTGCGTTATATTTAATGTTTATTTGAACATAATACGCGTTTAGAGGTGGGAATAAGCTTTCAAAAGAGATATAGCTTGACTATATTGACACAAGTGAATTCTAATACTGATGCTGTTAAATGAAAAATAACTGAATCCTCCCTGTACAGGGAGGGTGATCACTAGGACCGAGCGACTTAAAATGGCTATGTTTGAATTTCACACTTAAGCCATCAACATGACTACTCATGTTGATGATATTCCAAAAATAAATTATTTAAATCAAAAAATTACATATAAAAAACTACCAAAGTAATCTTCTTCATAATATGAAGAATAAACATGTACATATGCTGAGTAATACCACCATACCTTCTCTTGTATGTCGGCTGCGGTGCGTTTGGTGGTCTCCAGGTTCTCCACCAGCTCGGTGTCCCCCAGAAAGTCCCCCGAGGCAGAGGACAAGCGCGAGAGCAGCGTGTCCTCCAGCGTCTTCAGCGTGATCTTAAAACCGTTCTGCTCCGTGGTCAGCTCAGACTGCAACAAACACATGGAATAACCTCATGGGTCACATGGCCTTGAGCTCTGTGTCAGTCACCGTTCAAAAAGTCAAGAGGAAGAATGTTCCAATCCAGGCAGCGGCTCGACCCTCGCCCGCTCGTGGATTCAATTATTTTAGAACCTTTGATTTACAGCTCTTTTCTTTTGTACTGTTTGGCTTCAGCAATGCTTACTGGTGATGGCAATAACAAAGGTACAATATCCACTATATTAAAGTATAGGTAAAGGTCAAATGATGCATTATGTTTAATATCAAATATATTTGACGTTTGTTGAACACAGATGATTGTCTCTTTATCACAAATAACATTAACATTATCAAGGTAAATTCCTATATGTGCATATAATACACACTGTATGCGACAAAAAGTGGCAATACACTCTGAGCTTGGCTGGCAGCTCACAAAACTAAGACTGTGGCTAAAAAGAAAACAAGAGCAGTACATTTGCATTCAGACACCTCACAGAAGGCGGCCATTTCAATCGTGTGGAACACCATCGACACAGTTGGATGGTGCTGTGCCTTGTGAGGGGAACTCCATGTTTTCACCATATTTTCACCATGTTCTACTGTCAGGTGCAGTGGGCTCAGCACTAAGTTAGTCCAAGTCCAAGTTACGCTCAGCTTGATTAGGGGACGAGGAGTCCCCTCTGCGTGTTTTGAATGGATGGTTGAATGGATGGTTACACCGTGATGCATTGTGTCTTTATCAAACCTATTTCGCACTGTCCAAAGTGCTATTTCAGGGTTTCACGGACTTCCATTAGACCATGACATTTAGGATTTGAATGTAAATATAACAGAACATCGTACTCAACTTTCATCAAGAGATGTCGGTGTTTATCCACAAAGTTTTTACTGCATCATCTCAAGAAAGAATTACATTTTCCGCTGTAGGTTAGACTGCGCAGGGGAGGAAGGACGAGGAGGAAGGAGGTCTGGAGCTGGACTTTTAGACAGAAAATGTGTGAGGCAGAGGATCTGGCACGTGCACACTTTACACAAATACTGCACGACAATATCATTATACACATATAGCAAACCAATATTGTTTGGTTTGCAGGTAAATTTGACAGTTACCTGAAAACCTTCAATTATTTAAAGTAAGAGAACCATATGTATCTTATGTGTGCCGTGATGACCTTCAGTCTTCCTACAGCCTGTAGCCTCTCAGTGTTTACTGTCCTCTACAGCTGCAAACCCTGCACTTCACAGAGCTTCTGCAGTGCTCACACACGACCACTCTTTATTGCAAATATGAATGAAGAAATAGACAGTAAGAAATACCAACATCTAAGTGAGTGCTGCTGAATGTCTAAGTGAACTCACATAAAGTCAACCTTGAAAATAGTCGTTCAACCCGTACTAGAAGACAACATAAAGCACTTTTTTTTTTAAACATATACAGTAAAGACCAAAAGTTTGGACACACTTTCTCATTCAATGAGTTTCCTTTCTTTTCATGAGTATTGACTGTAGATTCACTCCCAAACTGTGTAAGGGCTGTTTGTCCAATAAGGAGAGTGGTGGGTGCTGGGCCAGATGACCTGGCCTCCAGTCACCGGACCTGAACCCAGTCCAGATGGTTTTGGACCTGAACCCAATCCAGAAGGTTTTGGACCTGAACCAAATCCAGAAGGTTTTGGGGTGAGCTGGACCACAGAGTGAAGGCGAAAGGGCCAACAAGTGCTAAGCATCTGTGGGAACTCAGAACATTTCAGGTCCTCTTGAAGCTCATTAAGAGAAAGCCAAGAGTGAAGCAGTAATCAGAGCAAAAGGTGCTACTTTGAAGAACCAGAATAAAAGACATTTTCAGTTGTGTCATACTTTTTTTTTAGTACGTACATAATTCCACATGAGTTAATTCATAGTTTTGATGCCTTCAGTGTGAATCTACAATTTTCATAGTCATGAAAATAAAAAACTCTTTTAATGAGAAGGTGTGTCCAAACTTTTGGTCTGTACTGTATACATATTAAATTAAGCAAAATCGCAGAAGAAAATCTCATACTGCATTTATCTCATACTGCAGTATCCCAGCCAACAGCACCCTGGTCTATCCCTCTTCTCAAGCCTGGATCAGACAACGTCACAGGTCAATACGAGGCCTTGGATCAAGAAGGACAGCTCAAAGACGATGAGATCGATGCAATGTGGATGGGCCTGGATTAACCCTGTCCCGTCCAGCACCCCACCCCCCTCTTCCCTTTGGCTGATGAAGCTGTCAATCTGAGCGCTGGGAAGGAGGCTTTGATGCTGCGGAAACTCTCTGAATCATCCTTGACTCCTCCTCATGGCTCGGATTAAGGAGCGCTCGGCTAATAAGGCTGCTAATGCTTTCTTCGAGCCTTTGTTCTAAGCGGAGAGGAAAAAGTTATCTGTGAAATGTGGGAACAAAGTGGCCAAAGTCTGGGGAAGCGTCTGTGCAACCTCATTCATTAATAATTGTTGCTGATTTCAAATGACTTGTCATGTTCAAAGTTTCTCTTATAGCAAACTTATAATAGTTTTAAATTCACCATTAACATGAGAGCGTCTTAAATGCTTAAGTGTTATAATTTTGCAAACACACATGAATCACTCCAAGTGGAATTTCTTTGGAAAATGATAACACAATTACTAAAGCATAAATATCATGCACAAAAAAGTTCATTTAAAGGATCCAGTGCGACAGTAGCTCAGTTGGTAGAGCAATGGCATTTGGGCCTGGGGGTCATGGGTTCAAGCCCACCATGGGACCTACTCCAACTGCGCCCACAAATGTCTACTGTTGTTGTGTCCTGGTCAAGACACGTTGCCTGAAGCTCCCGCTGAAAGACCAAGGCTGTTTCACCGCTGATGTAGCAGCCATCTTCCTGTGGACTCACCCCCTGCAGAGGATCAGCGAGGGACTGGTGCTATGAGCATTGGGTGGCTGCTCTCATTGCCTAACCCCCCCCCCAACCCAGAAATGGACTAATAAAGGGGTTGAAAATGAATGAATGAAAAGGATCCAGTGCACCCCTAGTGGTCAACCCTGGGACACACTACCCCTGCAAAATGTATGGCTTTTACTCAACAATTATAGAGATCAGAATATGTTTCGGCCTCCCACTGGTGGCGCTCTCCGATTGGGTGTGTTTTTTACAGCATACACACAGGCCATAATCAACAATTAGAGATGTGAATTTTAGCTCTGTCTGGCCCCAAGAGAGTTTTAGGCCTGTTCATCATGCACCTTCTCCAATATATGAAAGTCTGGCCCCCATAGGCTTTGAAATGTGAAATATTTAGGTGGGGATTTAGAGTCAGCGTGGGTATCTAGTCATTCATTTTATCAGATTTTTTGCCAAGCCGAACACATTAGACCCCCCCATGTGAGACTTTTTGTGCGTGTCTTCAGGCTGAAAAACATGTTTATTATGGCGGGGGGAAAAAAAGGAAATGAAACCAGCAAAAAACAATACTCTCCAATACTTCGTACTGGCTCGAACTAATGACAGGGCTTAAGCTGTTCAAAGTCCATTCCCGCGTCTGCTGTGTGCGATAATAGCGGTGTGGTTTGTAAATGGGAAATCCCCGTGTTTGTGCTGCTCGGTCTCTCCTGGACGCTGTGATGGTGCCAATGGCCTGGGCCGAGCAGCTCCGCCTCCGTGCGCTCTGCTAAACGCACGCTCGGAGCCAGCCTAATTGTGCTTTTTATGACATTTTTTCCCTTTTGAGAGCCATTTTACACCACTGTGAAAGCTAATTAAGCCTCGGCCTTGTTAAATCTTTAAAGGGCTGGGTTTGGAGCCGTTACCCAGACACCACAGGGAAATATCTGTCTTAAACTCTATAAGATAGGTTTGTGTATGAATGCAACACAGCATAAAATGTAGCAAATAGAATAAAGATAATGCAAATGGTGCTTCATATTACGTAATCATAATTGTTTGAAAAATCTCAATGCTGCTGAACTAGTTGAAAATAACATTAAATTGTAACTTTATTACGCAAATTATTTATCATCACTACAAAAAGTGACGTCAAACATGTCTTGAAGTTGGCCAATTTTGAGCACATTTTGACAAACAACTGCAAATGGGACAAAGCAAAAGGATGTTTTAAAAAGATACAAGACATTTCTCTTTTGGAATGAGAAATAAAAAGGAACAGTTCTTGAAACAAGTCTAAAGGCTTTGTCCCATTGGCAAATCTTGTTTTAGCATAATCAGAATGGACTAAGATTAAGATAAAAATCACTCAATTCAAGCCATTCTTACCACATATTCTATAATATTTTTACCAAGTGGGACAAAGACATCCATCCATCCATCTTCTTCCCATCAATCCATTTCTGGGGTGCTCAGAGCTGCACTCAATCCACAGACCCCCAGCCCCTCACTGATCCTCCTGCCGGTGCAGAGTCCACAGGAGGACGGCTGCTCTGTCATAGCCTTGATCTTTCAGCGGGGGGCTTCAGGCAGAGTGGGGTTAACTTGCCCAAGGACATAACAACAGCAGACATCAGTGGTCGATGGAGAGGGTCTCAAGTTGTCGAACCCACAAAAGGCCCAATGCTCTACCAATGCCAATAGGACAAAGACATTTTGCATTTATTTCTGTAATTTGTTTTTTTTCTTCTTCCAAGGGAGACATTTTGTGTATCTTTTAAAACAAGATCATGTTGCTTTTGTCCCATCGGCAAATCTTGTTTCAAGGCAGTCAAAATGTGCTCAAACGAAGATACATTTTGCCAAATTTTGTGCATTTTTTTCACTTTTCCCCTCCCTGTTTACACTGTAAGCAAATTATATTCTTCGATTGAATAACATTACACCACTGTTTCCCAAAGGAGCCTTACCATCACAAATGTTGAAGAACTATTAGTGCAAAGGCCTGTTTGTAATTCCACAAAGCAGCGACGCCTTGTTCTGTACAGAGCTGTAATCATGTTAAGCCTTTATCAGCTCACAACATTAAGGCGAACACTGAGCTTTCTGCTCCAGATATG